CCTCTCCTTCCCCCTCTCTCTCTCTTCGACTCTTTATCTTTCTCTCTCCCTCCCTGCTTCTTCTTCTCTCTCCTCCCCACCTCTTCTCTCGGTCTCCCTCCACGCATCACTCACCACTTCGGGGAAGTCTTCTTGAGTGCTCTGCTTGAAGCAGCGCCGGCAGCCTTCTCCTTGCCCGTGGAGGCAGTCTCAAACACTAAACAGCGACTGTCTGACGGGTTTGGAGGTATGAGATGCGCGCCATTGGTCGCAGAATCGTGATGGTCTTTCCGGCCCCAACGCTGCAACAGTCACGCCCCCACCGCTGCTGCTCGACAGACATATTCTACATACATATATACTTATATCATTATATATTATATATAGTATTATATTATTATATATATATATATATTATATATATATAAATAATATATATATGTGCTGACTTCTCTACGTATTGAAACAGATATGGCTATTCGTAACACGACCAAGGAATCGTGGTGTGCTAGCCGTGTTCGATTAAGGAAACTGGCATATATGGTCATCGTTGATGCGCTGATATGAGAAGCATCGCCGGTGTAGCGGTATGGAACGAGACCTATAGGTCATACGTAACGATTATCATGGTAAGCGTCAGGTGATAGTAGTAGCGCCGTAACGCCTATGTTTATCGCTCATGCAGCACGGGTCACAGTTAATTGTATATCGTGACCTGAGGATGGCCAAAAATGTGATCTGTAATGTCCCTCGCTAACGCATAGACCGCATAACGGCCTGTAAACACAATTGAAACATTTAACGTAGGGTGAATGACGATACATTATGATTACGGCCAGCAACTTAATACATGCTGATTAACAGGGATTAACATGACCCGCTAACAAAACCGTTCAGTGTATCCACAACACATTACATAAAACAGTTCGTACACGGGACAGTACGAGCGTCATACACATGAATTAACAGGTCAAAGAAACGTCGGTGTAACACAACGCGAGTCACGCTAGCGACGGTGCGGTCGTACGCGGTGACGGTGTGTTCGTGACGCGGAACGTCACAGGCGCGGCTGTGTCGTTACGCGACGTTACGCGGCGCGGGGCCTGCGTCGTTACGCGACGTCAGTCGGTGACGGCCGCGTCGTTTACGCCGATGACGGTGTGTCGTTACGTGACCGCTCACGTCGGCTCACGCCGGCGACGGCTGCGTCGGTTACGCCGACGTTACGCGTCGACGGTGTCGTGTTACGTGACGTCCGCGGGCGCGGATGTGTCGTTACGCGACGTTTACGCGGCGACGGTGTGTCAGTTACGCCAGACGGACGGTGCGTTCGATTTACGCGACGTCACGTGGGTTGACGGTGCGTCGTTAGCGCGACGACGACGGTTCGCTGTGTCGTTACGCTGACGTCACGTCGTCACGCCGGCGACGGGACAAGCGTCGTTACGCGACGTTTACGCCGTCGACGGTCTGTGTCGTTAGTGACGTCACGCCGACGACGGTGTGTCGTTACGCGACGTTTACGCGCGACGGCTGACCTGTGTCGATGGACGCGACCGACGGTGCGTCGTTACGCGAGCGCGTCACGTTGGTGACGGTGCGTCGTTACGCGATGACGGTGTGCGTTACTGACGTCCGTTCGTCACGCCGGCGACGGTGCGTCGTTCGCGGACGTTACGCGTCGACGGTTGTGTCGTGGTAACGTGAGTCACGCGTGAGCGGCGACGGTGTGTCGTTACGAGAGAGAGAGGGGGGGAGAGAGATAGAGAGAGAGAGAGAGAGAGAGAGAGAGAGAAAGAGAGAAGTGAGAGGGAGAGCGTAAAAGAGAGGGGGAGAGAGTGAGAGAGAGGGAGGAAGGAGCGAGAGGGTTAGAGAGCGAGAGTGAGAGTGAGCGATGGTTGCAGAGAAAGAGTGAGAGTGAGAGTGAGAGTGAGCGACGGTTTAGAGAAAGAGCGAGAGTGAGAGTGAGAGTGAGCGAGAGTGAGAGAAAGAGCGAGAGTGAGAGTGAGAGTGAGAGGTTGTATTAGCTGCACACGTCACATTCACACAGCCACCGACTGCATCGCCAAGTTTTTGCGTCTGTTGCAGAATTCGGAGGGGATCTCTATGACAATACCTATGCCCGGCCACCCCGTGTCTGGTAAGCATACTGGTTGATACGGGTAAGATGCACATCGCGTAGCCTTTAAAGGAATTATTTCGTAAATAACTGCGCAATTGGGAAAAAAATAGCGAAATATCTAATAGCAAACACAGACCGATTACTGCAGTATAAAATTCACCATGGTAATAATATTGGTTAGGATACGTGTAGCATTTAAAGGAATTATTTCATAAATAACTGTGCAATCGAGGAAAATATAGCGAAATATAGGTTCGTGTAATAGCGTACACGTTACCGATTACTCCAGTATTAAAATCGCCATGTAATAATATGGGTAGGACACGTGTAGCATTTAATCGTGGTAGCATTGTGTCGTGGATGACGTCCATGATGATCTAATGGCGGGGCGATGACAATTGACATGCAGGTGACGTACGTTCGTGGAGGTGTCACCTCTCGTCTCCCCAGTGTTACCGTATCAGAAGTGTATAATGTAGAGTGTATATAGGGTGGTGTGTGTTATGTAGAGTGTATATAGGGTGGTGTGTATAATATAGAGTGTATATAGTGTGGTGTGTGTAATGTAGAGTGTATATAGGGTGGTGTGTATAATGTATATGTAGAGTGTATATAGGGTGGTGTGTATAATGTAGAGTGTATATAGTGTGGTGTGTGTAATGTAGAGTGTATATAGGGTGGTGTGTATAATGTAGAGTGTATATAGTGTGGTGTGTGTAATATAGAGTGTATAGAGTGTGTCTATATTATACACTCCTGTTCGTATATTTTCCTTATCACAGGTGATGCGGAGGGACAGGTGAGGGAAGACGTGCGACGACTGGAGGAGCTGGTAGAGCGTCACGACGTCGTCTTCTTGCTGCTGGACACGAGGGAGGGCCGCTGGTTGCCTACACTCCTCGCTGCGAGCATGCACAAGGTACCGCGCGTGCACGCCTGCTCCTCCCTGCTCTCACCTCGCGCCTCGCTGCGAGCATGCACAAGGTACCGCGCGTGCGCGCCTCCTCCTCCCTGCTCTCACCTCGCTCCGTTCCTCCTATTGTTGAGTGCCACTTCTGGGAATATTTGAGATAGAATTACCATCAATAGAGAGAGAGGGGGGTATGAGAGAGAAAGAGAGAGAGAGAGAGAGAGAAAGAGAGAGAGAAAGATAGAAAGAGAAAATTGTCAAAAGCTAGGACGAACGAGGCAGAGGGGGAGATGGAACGAGTGTGAGAGAGGGAGAAAGTAAGACAGAGAGAGAGAGAGGGCTAAGATAGAGATAAGGGAGACAGCAAGAGCGATATGCGTGATAGAGCTTCCATCGTCACACGCCTCCCATCGTCGTTGTAATCTGCTTCTCATTCCCCCATCTCTCTGCATCTGTCAGATCGTCATCAACGCGGCCCTGGGTTTCGACACGTTCATGGTCATGCGTCACGGCCTCAAGTCGGACCCGTCCTCCCCGGTTGCCATGGAAACGGAGCCGATGATGAGGATGGGAGAGGGCATCCACGGCAGCCGGCTCGGATGCTACTTCTGCAACGATGTGGTCGCCCCGGGAGACGTAAGATATTCACGCCGCCGAGACGGACGCTCGTTGATTCCAATTCATGATCAATCGATATCGTGTCCTTCGATTCCCTGTATCGCTCTCCTATCTCCCTGTATTAATCTCCTATCTCCCTGTATCGATTTCCTATCTCCATGTATCGATCTCCTATCTCCCTGTATCGATCTCCTATCTCCCTGTTGCCTGTATCGATATATGATATCTGAACCCTGTATTAATCCCTTCTGGCGGAGGTGCCACCTCTCATCTCCCCAGTGTCATTGTATCAGGAGTGTATAATATAGACTATATACAGGGTTTCTTCTGAGGGAAAATTAGACAAAGGAGGTAATGCCCAGTTTGGGAAAAAAACACGCATGCTGGATACAAATACAGGATGTATTGATATACTTATAGGTACATAGCTACAGGATATACTTATCAGTAAATACAGGAACATTTTCACAATGGGGATGTTAAATTTGACAACGGCGGTGCGCCACAGTGCTTCTTATGTATAAGAAACCCTGTATATAGAGTGTGTCTATATTATACACTCCTGATCGTATATTTTGTGGGAATGTAAAGTGGGTACGATGCGTTTGATGTGTACGTCTAACGCACCGAGCAACTTACAACCATTCATTTAAAGAAGAATCGATCCGCTGACTCATTCCAATCGGTTTCCCACGTCATATAGTCATAATCACGATTTCTTGAGACGGATCGTCGTTTATCTAAGTAAGGGCCACCGTGTGAAGTTTACGCTGCTAATCCCTCTTTCTATAAGCCATATCGGATAGTCCCCGTCGCCATATTGAGAGCCGATAAGAGGGGGTATAAACTGCCCTTTTATAACATAGGTAGGATTATACCAGGATAGGACTGTTATAGGTTTTTGATCTATAATTCTCTGCACTAACATCATACTTCAATTCACAGGTGCGTTTCTCTTTACATAAACATATACAAATATGATTGTGGTCGTTTGGGATATTTTTCAATGTTTGTGTTAATGCAAAAACTAAAAACGCACGAGTGTTTACATTAATCATGTACTTTCCTAAGCGCGCCTCCGCCATTTTATACCCTTTTTTTCTGTGACCTTCATAGCACAGCTGGACTTTCCGATCTCACTTATTGCTTCTCTTGCTCACCGCAGTCTACGAGGGACCGCACGCTGGACCAGCAGTGCACCGTGTCGCGGCCAGGAATGTCCATGCTCGTGAGCGCCCTCGCTGTCGAGCTTCTCATCTCCCTGCTGCAGCATCCCGACAGGTGCGTGGTGAGGGAGGAGTGAGAGAGGAGGGAGGAGGGGGCGAGGGAAGGAGGGTGGTGAGGGAGGAGTGAGGGAGGAGGAAGAGAGGGCGAGGGAGGAGTGAGGGCGGAGGGGGCGAGGGAGGATGGAGGGAGGAGGGGGCGAGGGAGGAGGGTGGTGAGGGAGGGGTGGAGGGAGGAGGGGCGAGGGAGGATGGAGGGAGGAGGGGGCGAGGGAGGAGGGTGGTGAGGGAGGATGGAGGGAGGAGGGGGCAATGGAGAAGGGTGGTGAGAGAGGAGGGTGGTGAGGGAAGAGGGTGGTGAGGGAGGAGGAGGGAAAGAGGAGGAGGGGGAGGGGTACAGGGAAGGAGCAGGAAGGGAGGTTACAAGAGGTGGGGGAGGGGTGCAGGGGAAGGAGAAGGGATTTCTTACATATCATTATTTTATTGTTCTATGTTCACATCTTCGGTATATTGGCTGGGTTTTGCTTGAATCAGCTTCTTTCGTTAATATATATTATATAGTATATATATATATATATATATTAACACATCATGATACAATGTTAAATGCCTGATTCTGGAAAGCATTGAAATCATAAATTTATATATCGATATCGATCATTCCCTACAGAAAATGCATACACAAGCGGCAACTCAGATCATCATTAATATAATCTAATAGGTTTTGGGTTTTTGGGCATTCGGTTTTCAGCAAATTTTGTTTTAATTACCCTGGCGTATAGTACAGTGTAGATATACGTGACCCATTAACGTGCTTAATTTAATTCATTCAGCTCTATTCAGTCTGTACTTTGATTCCAGTCTTTCGCAAGCCTGGGTGAAAATCAAATTGTCGCTCACACATGATGCTCGCTTTGATGATGAACTTGAGGGCTGTCAGGGATCCTAGATCTGTCATGGTTTCCGTACTTGTTCGGGAGTGAGACCCGTCAGGGATACAAGTTCGTCGTCGGCTTTAGTTCCCACGACGTCGTCTCGTTGTGATTGGGCGTGGAGGCAATGCGTGAGACTCAGTCTCGGGATCTGTCGTCGTTGCTTAGTTCCCATTACATCGTCGACGGCGCACGTGTGATTTGGGGTGTGGAGCAGCTGTGAGACCTGCTCGTCGGTGGTGATCAGTCGTGTTCGTCGCTTTAGTTCCCACACGTCGAGCGTCGTTGTGATTGGGCGTGGTAGCAGCGTGTAGACCCGTCCATGGTCCATTCACAGGTAACTGCTGGGGTTGGTTGAACACGGTTTCAGGTCAGGATAAGGAGAAACCTCTCTCTTCATACGCCTCGCAGCAGCCGTAACGTGGGGAGAACGGGACACAGAAAAACTTAACGCGCGAGCGAGTCATTGGGCATTCGGAAGGGGGGGGGGGGGGGGTTGGGGGGTGTCGGGGGGAGCGAAGGTAAAAAACTTAATTCGTGTCTTATTTCCACTCCTGGCATTTGGTGCAGATATGTGGTTAGCAATTTAATGTAAGCGCGCACTAGCGTGTATTGCGTGTATGTTAGTGCGATAGTAGCAGGCTCTCGATTCGATTCACCAAGATAGAGGAGACATGCTGCCATCGTATCTAACAAGTAGGTCTAGTCTCTAGCTGTACAACCTCCTTGGCACTCTATATCCTTAACGATAAGTAGATGTGCTTTACGGCCACGTAGAAGAAGAATGTCGCCTATTGGCATGGGCTACATTATACTATTAGAAGAATATCAGCCTACACCGAAGTCCACATCACGCCAGCCAGCCAGTCAGCCAGGCCAGCTCCTA